CCTAGGTTTCTTTGAAAGTATTCTAAATATAGATTCAATGTTTTTTTTTGTGAATTCGAGAAGTTTTTTTATGGATTCTAAAGGCTCCGATGGTTTACTATTCTCATGCTTTTTATAATAGTATTTAAAAAAAAATAAAGTTGAGTTATCTTTACGAGAAAAATAATTATTAATGTTTTGAGTTGAATAAAGTAGAATTGAATTTTAAAAATATTGAAACAAATTCATTTTTGGGTTTTTAGGATAAGATAGTGAAATAAAATAGGGTAAAAATAGGGATCCAAAGGGGCCCTCACTATTATTACCCTATCCTATTTCACTATTTTATTTTTAAAATCCAAAAATGCATTTATTTCAATATTCTCAAATTTCAATTCTATTTTATTCAACACTTAAAACATTAATAATTATCATTCTCATAAAGGTAATCTAATTTTATTTTTTCTAAAATAATATTATAAAAAGCATAGAATAGTGAACCAAACTACCTAAACCACCTAAAATAAAACCAGGAATAAGTGGGGAAGATTTTACTTTGTGACTTTCTTTCTTGTCAACCTTTGGTAGTATGAATAGAATAATCAAAATATATCTTAAGAGTGTAAACAGTGCAAAAGTTCTTGAATGGGGATCTTGTAAGTTGTGAGCACTAAATTTAAAGATAAAAATATCAGGGGTTATTTGTTTGTTTTCTTTTATTCAATCCAAACTTTTGAAATAATATATAGAGGAAGTCTCTCAAGCACAAAGTATGTTGAAAGAAAAGTGCCCGATAAAAAACAAGTGGGTCGTTTACTAGTACGATAAAAATGAAAAGGGTAAACACATGTTCCCACCCAAGGTTTGGCAATCTACATTTTCACGCCTGGTTTCATAAATTGCAGATTCTTACCCTTAAATTCTGACTCTTAAATTAACAAATAACTATTTAATCTAATAGTTAAAAGGGTAAAACTGTCATTTCAAAAATAAAAATTTCAAAATAACCCTTCATTTCTCAAATGCACCCCACGAAAAATTTCAAAATAACTATTGACTTCTCAAATTCACCCCACTGATGATTTCAAGCTATTCTGGCCTGTTTTTGGCGTAGTCTGATTGAACCCTCCAATCGTCAACTGCCACTCTTAGTTTTAGTCGGCGTTTTATCCAAATTCTAGCAGGTCTTGGCACTGGAAACCACTCCCAACACCACCAATAACATCACTAGCTTCCCCCCATCAAAACCCCCAACACTGCCAACTGTAATGGTCCGCCAATTATCGTCGCCTCTCCTGTAGATTTTCACATTTTGTTGCACCTTTCTAACCAAATTCTAGCATCTCGTCGAGATGCAATCGGGTGGAAAAGTTAGGAATTTTGGTGAAGAGGATAAGGGGATGCTGATGGTAGTATCGGGGAGGTCCAATGGTGTCAAAATCAGGCTGGATTCTTGGCTTGGTCGATATCCTTTGGGGGTTATTTGAAAGAAATTTGAGATATAGGAGTTATTTTGTGAAAAAAGTTACAGCGTTAATTTAAGGATAAGAATCTGCAATTTATGAAACCAAGGGTGGGAAACTGTAGTTTCACCAAACCTTGGATGGGAAAATGCCGTTTACTCGAATGAAAAAAACTATGCAGGCAAGCCTGATTAGGTTTGTCGCCGCTGCCATTGTTCAAGGCAATTAATTAGTGACATTAAAACCCTATTAAATTCTTTGAGATTATAAAAAAATAAGATTATCAAAATCCCTCTTGATGGCGAGTTATTTAATATTTAATAATGTTTGAAAATTATTGGTACATAAAATAAACTCTTTCAACAAATTACCAATTTCGTCTTTCCACTGTTAATTTTTATACAACTTATGAGTGTAACTTTTTAGAATCAGTACATTCACTAAACCTGCTTGGAAAATGTATTTAATCAATAATTTACAGCATCAATTGATCATGTAGATCAATACGTATGTTATGATCTCTAAATAAACATCAAAATGTATAACAATATGAAATACATATAAACATTCGATCAAATTCATAAAGTGATCAAGAACTTATACTTCAAAAGTTCAGGGAAATAACAAGATTAAAATGCTTGGATTACCTGATTCTTCTCATTGTCACACTCAATACACATGAAATGCTAAATTTTAACAAAATTTTCCCAAGAAAATCTTCTCTAAAATGACAAGAAACCTCCAACTTCTTTTACAGGCAATTCAATCTCTACTTTGGCTTCTGACTTTTCATCTACATATCGCAACTTCCCCTGGCCACAATAAACAAAAGGAAAGAATGAGCAATTGTATTTTTTCCCTTGAATTTTGAAAGTGAAAACTTCCTCCAACACTCCACTCTTTGTATTATAAGAAATGACACTTCCTGGAAGCTGCAGGAACATTTTCTGTGAAGCTTCATTGTATGCAAAAGGGGCTATATCCTGAGGTTTCCAATTTCTACTCAGGCCCCGGAAAGTTTGATGACTAAGACTATCCGATAATGCCCACTTGAACTTTTCGGCGTCAATGTTGTGATACTTTATGTGAAAATCAACATCTTCTTCATTGAGTAGATACCAAGTATGAATCCCTTCATTATCAGTGTAACAATAGCGAACTCGGCCTTCGGATTCCCACAAACATCTCTTGAACACTCTCGTGGATGGCTTGTGACGATGGCCGTCTTCGGATACATCAGGCAGTTTGATGAATTGACAGTGACCAGTTTTAACGTTGTAAACCAGCAAGTGTTGAAGTACTTCCCAATGAATGGAACCATTTGAGTAAAGAGATGGCACTGGAGGCTCTGGAAAGAGTTGTTTTACAGGAACAGGCGAAAAAAGATCGCCGGGTGTGTGAGTTTTCCACTCACCAGTTTCAGAAGAGAAAATTCCAAATTCCAGTGCTGAACCTGAAGAAATATGCACAAGTACAACCTGGAAATGATGATGATGCATATGAGAAGCCAGGCCGGACCTGACGATTTTCCGAGCGAAGGAGGGTTGAGGAAGAGTGAATAATTGGTTTGCTGGAGGATTGAAGACATGGAAGTTGAGCTGATTCTTCTTGGTTTTACTTGTCAAAAGAATGAATCCATAGCATGAAGAAAGAATTTTGATATGATCTTTGGAAGAGAAACCAAGTTCAGGGTTGATGCTGGTAACTCCAGATTTGTTGTCAACACTTAGAAAAGAAATTTGAGATGATTTCTTGTTGAACTGATAGTGGCAAACAAGATCAATTCTTGAAGCCCTGGAATTGGTAGAAGTAGAACCAGGGTTAGAGTTTTTCTCCATGATTTTTGCTGGGAAAGATTTGCTTGTTCATTGACAATTGTTGGTCTTCTTGTTAGCTTATAAATTAAAGATGGAATTTTAAAGCATTAGATTCTTATCAGCGACTGACTTGAAATCAAGTTTAGGTGGCAGGAATTTTCCTTGAAACATCCTCATCCTTGAGGAATAAGTTAGGGGGAAATTATGTGCAATCGGATTTACCTACATCCGACCAAGGAAGGAGGGCCATGTTAGCATACATAGGATGCACAAGCTTTGTTATTGGTTAATTTCATGAGTGTATATTATTAATTTATTATAGTGAAAAGCTTCTCCAGGTTAAGAGACTTGGTCAAAGCACGAGGGATAGGCTTTGCTGGGTCACTTTCTGGGTTTGTTGATGAAGGAAGAAAAATGTGAGTTTGTGAAGTTGACTAAATGTGAAAACAAGACTGAATAAAGGAAAGAAGCCAAGTAACCATTGCTCCTTTTGGCATAGGCTTGCCTAATTTTTCTTTATAACAAATGGGGGAAGAAAGTGAAGTTGTTCACAACCGCTTGTAGGTTTTCAATATACCCCGAATGTTACCAAAAAAAAATAATAGTTTTCACACCACCAATTTTTAGTAGAGGTTGAAAACTAACACTTTTTGGAACGTCTCTCAAAATATAGCACAATTCCATTTTACAGATGGAAATGCCCCTTTGACAGATTGCTAAACCTTTACCCTAAACCCATTTTTCAACTCTAAATCCCAACTTATATTTGATCTGAAGGAGTTTTTTTTTTTTTTTTTTGTTGTTGGAATATTTTATATTATATTTATTACCATAAAATATATTTCGTTAGTTATTTAATTTTTTTTTAATTTATTTTTTGTTTTAGTGATCAATTCGGAAGAAAAGGAAAAGTCTTAATTCAAGCCAATTTGGAGAATAAGTAAGCTTTATGTGGGCCAAAATAGTCATAGACCGAATTGAAAGGAATGGGAAATTTGAGTTGCATTTATGTGTGGCCCATGTGTTTATTAAAATTATAATCCTATCCCAATTTTTTTTAGAATTAATTCAGACAACCGGATATTAACCATTTATCTACATAAATATTATAGAGAATTGATTAAATGGGTTTTAAGTGCTGAAGAATGAGTTTTAGTTGAAGGTTTAAAAATAACCTAATATATCAACAAATCTGTTAAAAAATAGTTATCACAGAAACAACAATTGACTTGGGATTTTAGGATTAAAGAATGGGTTTTTGAATAGGGGCATTGTCATTCTTCAATTTTGTCTAAAATCCCATTTTGCTATATTTTGAAAGACTCAGGCCTCAAAATAATGCTATTAAATATAATTTCTCTAATTTTAAGGTATGTCTATATTCTATTGTAGAAATTAGATTTTTATTTTACTTATATTTATAATTTTAAAAATAAATAGCCAATCATAATTTAATTTTAGGGTGTTGCGAAGGATTTTTGTTCGAATCGGTCATAAAACAAATCTACTCAAAATTTGGCCAAAACTTGCATACTGAAATTCATGTAACAAGCATTAAAAACTCATAACTTTTCAAAGTTTCTGGCTACGGAAAATCCGCAAAATCTTGAAAAACATAAAACTAAAATTCATATATCTGAGAAAATACAATATTTAAAAAAAAAAAGAAAAAAAAAAGAATTCTCAAACCCTGGCCACAAAGCACATAATTTGTTAATTTACCACTCAAATAAAGAGAATATAATAGAATAATTTAGTAAATTTAAAATTTAAAAATCTCCATTGAAACAAAACATGACCACGATTGTTCCAAATCCTTCTCATCTCTTGAAAAAAACAGACTAAATAAAGCAAGACTCAGAAACTCGTCTTTAAGAGACAATGTCAATTGCAAAACAACTTAAAAACACCTAACTTACTATGACGACCCAAAATTCTGGACTTCTTTGTATGATCATGCCTTCATGCGTCCATAGAACTTCTGTTTCTCCTGTGTTGTCTGGAAACGACCATGACCAAACTTGGAGGAGGTGTCAACAAACTTGAGTTTGATTTCTTCAAGAGCCAAACGAGATGTCTGTGCGAGCAACGATTGGCGAAGTGTAACCACCCTCTTCTTAGGTCCAACACAGCATCCCTTGATCATAATATAATCATCCTTTACTACACCATAGTGAGGGAAACCACCCATTGGAGTGATGTCCTTCTCAGTCCTGAATCATTACACATGCCAGAAGACGGTGAAATCAGAAAACAAGGTAACCAATCTACAATATGTCAAGTCTTGGTAATTTTCGCCAAGGTTGGAAGTATACAACTAGGTGCATCAAATGAATGTCTAAGAACAAGTCATAAAATAAACAATTAATGAAATCTATTGTAGAGTAAATGCAGGTAATTCAGCTATATTATTATGTAATGAGTATACCAAGGCCATAAGCAAAATTAGACACAAGAAATCTCAGATAAAAAATTAAGAAGTTGCTTAATTTCATTAGACATGAAACTGACCTGTCATATTCAGTAATAGCAGCATGGGACTCCTGCCCAGTCTTGCCAAGCTTGTAGATTTTCTTGTTCATTTCAGTACGGTGGTGGTATCCATTCTGACCAGCTCGGGCAACTGTGAATGAGACCCTAGCAGGATGCCAGGCACCAATACAAGCCACCTTACGCAGACCCCTGTGGGTCTTGCGAGGAAGGCGGGTGACACCCCAACGAGTTACGACACCTTCGTAACCCTTACCCTTGGTGACACCAATGATGTCAATCATTTCATCCTTCTGGAAAACAGCATCAATGGGGATTTGCTTTTCAAAGAAACCATATGCATAGTCAACCTTCTGAGCAATAGTTCCACCATTGACCTGGATCTCCATCAGGTGAGCTTTCTTCTGTTTCAGACCCTTCATCTTCCTAATCTGTAGCACAGCGGTCAAGGAAATTTATTTATTAGTCTAAAGTCATGGATGAAGGAAAAATAAATTAGTTAATTCATGGTGTCAACAAAGTTCGCCAATCAAGGATTACTACCTGAGTGTGAGCCAAAACTCGGACAACAGTTGCATATTTCTTGATCTTCTCCAGCTGTGCTTGGATGCTCTTCTTTCCCTCTTCTGACTCATATTGCTTTGAGTACTTTGTGAAGGCCTTCTTCTTGGACTTGCACCAGTTTTTGTAGAACCTTCTTCTCAATTCCTCACTCAGATGCTGAGCCCATACAGTGTTCAAAGAGCGGAGACCACGTGGTGTCTTCACATATCCCACAACTCCAACAACCACCATTGGAGGAGTTTCAACGATGGTCACAGCCTCACAAGCTTCCTTCTTATGAAGCTCTATAGAGAAAAAAAACATATGTTTAGATAAATATAGCAATATGATATATCAAGGTTCGATACATAAACATAAAAATTAAATCTGAAATAACTTCATTGAAATGTGAAATTAGAAGAAAATACTAAATGAAGCCATTGACTTACTAGATCCAGGCTTCTCGACATCCCTGACAATATGGGTCATACCAGCCTTGTATCCAAGGAAGGCAGTGAGCCTGCAAGGCTTGCTTGGATCATCCTTGGGAAAAGCCTTCACTGCAAATATACAAAATAGATATACTTAGACTGATAAAATATATTAGCCACAGGGCACAAACTAATAGGAACACATTTTTAGAAAAGCCAGCTGCTAAGACATAAGCAAAATCACAGTCCCGGAAAACATTTTTTTTCTTCAGTAACCCAAAATCCCAAAATTGAGTTCAATACTGCACCACTATGTATTAGCACCATCAATGTTTTGGAGAACATTAAATCCTAAGTGAGAAATTTGGTAGGAAAACAGATTTTAAAAATAAAAGGACCACACGCTTACTTAACATTGTCAGAAGTTCAATATAATAAAAAGAATACTCATTTTATACCTTTTCCTCTGTGGCGAGCAGCTCGCTTCCTTGGAAGAAATCCAAGGGAACCATGCCTTGGGTGCTCAAACTTCCTGTGAGACATTTTTCTCCTCCTCTACAGCATAAAAATACCAGACAATCAATAAAAATCTATTTATCAAAATAATAAATTACCAACATCTTTCACATACATTCAACTTAAATCAATATTTTCCTACTATCTCTCATTTCAGTAATAAGAGAATCACTATTACAAGCCAAACATTCAACTAATATAAACCTATCTCTCGTAAGGAATAAAACAAAAAACAAAAAACCTCAAATCTAACTAATTCATAATCGCTAATGAATTACAAACGCATTAAGGACATAACTAACAGGAGATAAAAACGATAGCACATTAGGTAGCTGAGAAAGTGAACGGAAAATATAAACAGTATCAAATAAGATTCATTATTCAGAGACTCGAAGAAAATCTAACGACATAACAAAATGAGAATCATTATTCAGAGACTCTATTCTAACGACGCAACAAAATGAGATTGAAAACATATTCTCCCTTGCATTCTTTCTTTTTCCCCGCAACCAAACACAGCCACGCCATTGCTCAAACAAGTAAACAGAGGAATGAGAGAGAGAAGGAACCTGAGCTGCGGCTACTGACTCCTCTTGCTCGTAGTGCTGAGAGGCTTAAACCCTAGTTGATGTTGTTTATATAATAAAATAATTTACAATCTTGCCCCAAAATTTCTTTGAATTATTACGTTCCCTATATTTAAATTATTTTACCACTTGGGGCTCATTTGGAGCTTGGGCCTTTTGGGTTTTGGCCTGTGGCGATTTTAAAATTGAAAAATTATTTTCACTTTTTTTAATAAACCAAAGAGAAAAAATAAGGAAAACATTTTTACATCATTTTTAATTTTCAGATATTCATTTCTCAAAATCATGAAATATTTTTTTGTTGTTTATTTTTTCATGATGTAATATTTTAATATAAATTGTTGAACTCATCTTTTGGTTTTTGTTAGGGCCAAAAATGGTCCTTGGCCCAAATAGGAAAACAGGACCACCAGTGAAGAAAAGACCAAGCCCAGTCCTAAAGAGGCCCAAGTCAAATTAGTGCCATTTAATACGAGATACGGCCGGCCTAAACCATCTAGGCACGGGCCTCCCAGTTCCAGCTCACTTCATGGGCCTATAGGCGAGTTCAAAGCCCACGGCCCCCACTGATCATTTTCCTGTTCCTGTTCAATCTCCTATTTGAAGTCACTTTTCTGTTCCTGATCGCTTTCCTAATTAAAGTGACTTTCCTGTTCAGATTACCTTCCTATTCGGACGCAGGTAAGACAGCTCACAACCGCCCTAACTTTTCTAGGGTTTGCATCATAGTTACACTCGGACTCCTACTCCTACCAAGATTGGGAGACCAGACAGTCACCATATAAACAGAGGTCAACCCTCTCACAAAGGACACACTACATTACACCTTCACACCCGAAGTTCTTACTTGAGAGCTTCATATCACTGCCGTAGTCACAGTCTCCGACTAGACTTCCGATAACCTCTCTACTCCCTAGCCCTCACTATACTAGCCTCTTTCAGTCTTGCTGACTTGAGCGTCGGAGTGCCTACGGCAAACACCACCCCAGTGTTTCCCGTTTGCTTCACGCGTTTGTTTCTCTACGTGTGCAGGTGCAGCGGATCACCAGTGGCCTTAACCTCACGGGATCAGACCCCCCTTCCGTATAGGTAGATTTTTACGTCTACAGTTTGGCACCCACCGTGGGGCCTTTAGCAATCATTCGGCTCGATGAACCTTGCTACGTAGAGGAACTTTCCATGGTTGACAACTCCGACAACACTAATCCCGGCCTCGAGGCCAAACTGGAAGCTCTAACCGCTCTCATGCAACAGAACTCGGACAAGATAGCTGCACTGGAAGCCGAGAATAATGCAATCCTGACAGAAAACGCGTCCATCAAGTTAGCAAACCAGTCTCTCAAGGAGAAGGTGAGTCAATTCTACGATCTAGAGTTCCTGCCTGGCCAGGCACCCCCCAATCGGTTCCGCGCCCCTGTTCCGTCCATGCAACCTCTCCTTACGCCAGAGCACCGACCCTCGGTCTCCGACAAAAGGCCATGTCCGTTAAACTCATCTGCGGTCGACGATTCTGTCCTGATTCATGGAGATAAAGATATGCCTATAGAACATCATTCAGCCGATTCATCCCAGCATTAAGATCAATATGATCCAGTGGCAGAAAGCCCTCATCTACAAGACCAGCCCAATCTAACCATCCCACCTTACATCCAGTCAACCATCCCAACACATACTCCACTCGGCTCGGCTAGGCTCATCCTCACGAGATGAATGGCCAAACTAAACAAACCACAGCACCCGAGCCCATCCATTCTGACCAACCGAATGACTATCAGAGGACTCCCCTGACACTTCATGTAGGGTGAAACACCAGAACAGTTACTATGGGAGTCATCCAACCGGAGGGAATGAACGAAGATCTATGCTACCAAGGAACGCACGAAGGAACAACTTGTCAGACTACCCCACGAGGGATGACCCAACGGAATGTACCAAAGACAATTGCAAAGGTTGACCCGGTCATGCGGGATGACCTAATGGCGTCCCCTTCTCCTATGGAACAGGTACTAGCCAAGAGATTGGCGGATGTGGAAGCGGTGATGCGACGCATTCCAGGAATGCCGGTCCCAACCAAGAAGAGCAAGCCCCATTGTTACGCGGATTCACCCTTCGTGGATGAGATCGCCCTAGCCGACATGCCTCAGAAGTTTACCATCCCTAACATGAAACTGTACGACAACACAACCAACCCGGACGATCACATAGCCTCGTACAAGCAGCGGATCTTCACCGTCTCAATACCCCGACCGCTTAGGGAAGCCTATATGTGCAAAAGTTTCGGTTTGAGCTTATCCGGCCCAACACTCCAATGGTACACGAACCTCCCGAACGGATCCATCGACTCATTCGCTCAACTCACAGACACATTTATGGAACAGTTCGCCAGCAGCAAGAAACTCGAGAAGTTGTCGGCCGACCTATACAGAGTATACTAGAGAAGAGGCGAGCCACTGAGAGAGTATGTCAACAGGTTTAACAAAGAGAAGATCTTCATCCCTGCATGTAACCTTGAGACAACCGTAGATGCCTTCAGGAAGGGTCTCCTCCCAGAAGGAGAGCTGTACAAAGAACTTATAAAGCTGGGTTGCACCACAATGGAAGAAGCCCTGGCCCGGGCAGTGATCCAAATAAGATGGGAGGAGGATGATATAAACCAAACGATTCACTCTAGATACGATTCAAGGCGGAATGACAGGAAGCCAGAGCATAGGCTAGCGGAGCACCACTACCAACCCCCAGCACGTAATTCGAGCAGAGTCAAGAAACCATATGATCATCAGCCGATAAGAACCGAGAGCAGACAGTTTGGATAGAACCTGTACAAAATACCGGAATACAACCTCAATGTCGAGCCAACCCAGGTCGTCGCTATTATGAAGGGAATGGGATCCACTGTTAAGTGGTCAGACAAGCTCAATCCCGAGGCAAGGAGAGACAAGACCAAATGGTACGAGTTCCATGGCGATCATGGGCACAACACCGCAAACTGCATCGCCTTACGGCTAGAGGTCGCTGTACTTCTAAAGAGGGGACATCTTTGGGATCTGCTAACCGATAAGGGGAAGAACACCATTAGCCATAAAAGTTCAAAAGAACCATCACCGCCTCCGCGAGAACCTACACCAAAAGGTTTCTGTTCGCTCATCTTCGGAGGATCAGAGATCAGTAGGGTAAGTTACTCATCGGCCAAGCGATATGCCAGAGCCAACCACCACCATGAAATCCATTCCATCCATCCGGTCTCACAGTCACACACTCATCAGGTAATTCAGTTTGAAGATGACAAGCCGGTTACCTTGGTCGCTCCTCATCACGATGCCCTAGTCATCTCCCTGCAGGTTGCCAACATCCTAGTGAAAAGAGTATTCGTAGATGGAGGCTCTTTAGCAAACATCCTATTCCTCGAAGCAGTGAAGGCTATGGGATTGGAAGAGGCAAACATCAACAGGCGGCCGACGCTGCTAGTTGGTTCAGCTCTGAGCAGAAGTATACTATCGGGGAGATCATCCTTCCTATCTACGCCGGCGAAGTTAACAAACAGACCATTTTTCTGGCAATCGACTGCCCCTCGCCATACAACATCATCTTGGACCGACCTTGGATCCACGACATACGGGCAGTCCCATCTACCTTCCATCAAACGATCAGATTTCCAACCAAGTAGAGGGTACGAGAGATCAAGGATGACCCCAAAACTTCCAAAGATTGCTACAAGAATGCCTTTAAAGGCAAGGGTAACTCTTCATAGCAATTACAGTCTCATCCAACCCCACCGACTGATCCGGATCAACCATCTATGGAAGAGTTGAATGAAGTACAGATACATCCGGACGATCCTGAGAGAAAGCACACATAGGGTCCTGCCTCAAGCCCGAGACAAAAGAGAAGCTGATAAAATCCCTCAAACATAACCAAGACTGTTTCGCCTGGTCCCACGCCGACATGACCAGAGTCAGTCCGGAAGTAATGGTCCACCAGCTCAAGGTAGACGTAGATCACCCACCAGTGAAACAGAAGAGAAAGAAATTCGCAGCAGAGCGTAACCGAATTGTCAACGAAGAGGTCGAGAAGCTCCTGAGCAATGGTATGATCAAAGAGGTCCACTACCCCGAATGACTGGCGAATGTCGTGGTCGTAAAGAAAAAGAACAGGAAATGGAGAGTGTGCATCGACTTCACGGACTTAAACAAAGCCTGTCCCAAGGATTCCTACCCGCTCCCACATATCGACGTGATAGTCGATGCGACCACAAGTCACGAGCTCCTTAGTTTTATGGATGCCTTCTCAAGGTACAACCAGATATTGATGCATCTGGACGACCAAGAGAAGACAGTTTTCATCACGGAAAGGAGAACCTATTGCTATAAGGTGATGCCATTCGACCTGAAGAACGCCGGGGCCACCTACCAGTGCCTAGTCAACAAGATGTTCGCCGAGTACCTAGGAGACACCATGAAGGTATACATCGACGACATGCTCGTCAAGTCGCTGATGGCCGAATAGCACCTCGACCACCTCAGCCAGGCATTCGTCGTCCTCAGGAAGTACAACATGAAGCTAAATCCAGCCAAGTGCTCATTCGGGATCTCATCAGGAAAGTTCTTGGACTATATGGTGACTCAGCGAGGGATAAAAGCCAATCCCGACCAAATCAGAGTAATCCCTAGTATATCGTCTCCAACTTGCGTCAAAGACATCCAGCGCCTCGCCGAACGGGTAGTCGCCTTGAGCCGCTTTATTTCCAGGTCAGCCGACAAGTGCCGTCTCTTTTTCCATGCTCTCAAGAAGTCCAAGAAGTTCGAGTGGACCGCCTCCTGCGAAGAAGCCTTGCAACAGCTGAAGAGGTACCTAACCTCCCCTCCGCTTCTCTCCAAACTTGTGGACAGTGAGAAGCTCTACTCTTACCTAGTGATCTCAAACACAGCCATCTCAGCAGTACTAGTTCAGGAAGAAGAAACGAAGCAGTTGCCGGTCTATTATGTAAGCAAGTCACTCCTTGACGTGGAAACACGAGATAGTCAGCTGGAAAAATTAGCCCTCGCCC